CCAGAAGCCTTTGTACACTGTTCCAAATGCCTCCTCCCAGGACAACAGCCAGCCCACAGGCCCCTGTTGCATTTCTGCCCAGTCCTTGATGCCCCATGGCTGACCCTGGACTCGTGGTCCTGAGCAGGGCCCTGGGACCTACCTCTGGACAGCAACTCATGACACCTCCCCAGATGTGACAAGCAAGCCCCACATGACCACATCAGGATGGCTGTCCTCCATTGCCTTGGGCTTGGCCATCAAGCACCCCTAGTCCTCACTCTCAAAAGTCATTCAGCCATCTTTTTCCTGACTACCCCTCCTCCCCAGCCTTGTTGAGGTTCTCACATGAAACTCATTCTAGTTTAATAAGGAAAAATTTTTCCCCTTCCTCTTTACCAAAGTGTCCTATGCCTCAAACTCAGCCAGGACAGGGTGTGTGCTATTACTTCATAATTTGGGGTCCCAGGTAGCCCCAACTGGGGCAAGTAAAGGCTCCTGGGAATGGATGCATAGGAGTCCTCCTAATGTTCTTCTTAACATGAGTGATTTTCTTCCTTAGCACTTATGAACAACACTATTGTCCTGGATGAAGGCAGTCTTCTCTCTCCCTAGAAGAGCAGGATTGTAAAAATGACCATGAAAACTGAAACCAAAACCCTGGGAAGACATCTCCATAGTGATCATGAAAAACTATTCATGGTTCTTCCAACTTTTCAGCATTTGTCAAAATATGAAAAAATATCAGTTAAATGTCAATTTAAACATATAGGGAAACATAAACAATAATAAAATTTGAAACAGAAACACTGAGCGTTAGTGTTTTGTACCTTGGTAAAAACTTATCCAGAGGAGTGTCAAGATGCTGGCCTTGTTCTTCTGTATTTGAATATGCAAAGCAAGCACCTTTTCTACCTTGGTGAATTATCAGCCCCTTCAATATCATTGCCCTTTGGGTCACCACCACTCCTCGTGTGTATATGGATAATGTCACCTTCAGTAAGTTTGTCTATCTGCAAAGCAAAGTCCTCATACGAGATCCATGTCCACACACCACGGCCAGCTGCTTCTGTTCTGACCCACTTGTGCCCAGTTTAATGTCATTTCCATAATTGTCACCTCTCCTGTCCTCACTGTGATTTTTTCTGTGTTGATTAGGTATTTAAATATAGAATGGATCAAAGAGGAAATGAGAGTAGAAATGAAGAATCCTTAGAAGCAAATTCGAACAGAGATACAACATATCTAAATCTCTGGGACACTATGAAAACACCTCTAATAGGAAAATCTAAATCATTGAGTGCCTACCTGAGTGAAATAAAGAAATATCAAATAAATAAGGTTATACTCTAACACAAGGCCTTAGGATAGGAAGAACAAACTGATTTCAGAAAGAGTAGAGGATAGGGAATCATTAAGATCAGAACAGAAATTATTGCAATTGAGAATGAAAAACAACACAGAGGATCAATGCAAGGAGGAGATGGTTCTTTAAAAAGTTAAATAAGATTGAAAATCCCTCAGCCAAATGACCAGAAAGAGAGAAAAACCCAAATATATCAAATTAGATATGAAAAAAGAAACATCACTGGAAATACTCCTGAAATCCAGAGAAAGTCTGGACACTGTGTACAAAATTCAGACACAAAAAAGTTAGAAAATCTAGAAGACATTGACGAATTCCTAGACATATGTGACCTGCCCAGATTGAACCCAAAAGATATAGAAAACCTAAACAGAACAGTGTCAGGAAGGAAATTCAAACAGCAATTAAAAGGCTTCCAACAAAGAACAGATGAGGACCACATGCATCATCAGCTAAGTTCTACCACACCTTTAAAGAAAAACTAATACCAGTCCTTCTCTAATTGTGCCATGAAATTGAAAGGGAGGGAGCACTCTATGAAGCTAGTAGAATATTTATATGAAAACCAGACTGAGACAAACGAAATGAACTTCAGGCCAATACCACTGATGGACATAGATACAAAAATACTTAATGAAATATTACCAACCTGAATGAAAAACACAGCAAGAGGCTAACACAGCATGATCAATGGGCTTCATCCCAGGGAAGCTAGGTTGGTTAAACAGTCACAAATCAATAAATGTTGTTCACCACTTAGACAGAATTATGGACAGGAATCACAGGACCATCTCAATAGGTAAAGAAAAGATCTTTTGAATGTCAATTCATGATTAAAATGCTGAAGAAGGTTAGGAAGGAAGAATCTTACCTCAGCATTATAAAAGCTGTGAACCAGAAACGTCATCAAGCATCACACCAAATGGAGAAAATTTAAATGCATTTTCACTAATATAAAGAACAAGTCAAGGTTGTCCACTGTCCCCACTCCTGTGCAATATAGGTCTTGAAACACAAGACAGAGCAATCAGGCAAGAGATGGGAATTAAGGGATACAAATAGGAAGAGAACAAGCCATCTGCTTGGAAATGACATGATGCTGTCACTACAGGATGCCCAAATACTTCGTCAGATGATTTCCAGAGATATAAATCAATTCAGCAAAGGAAAAGGACACAAGATTTACCCCCATAAATCAATTGCTTTCCTGTCCTCTAACAGTGATTCAGCCAAGGGAGATATCATCAAAGTTATCCCATTCACACAAACACACAAAAAAATTGAAGGTCACGGTAACTCATCTACTCAAGGATTAAAAGAGCTCTACATGAATATTGAAGAACACTGAAGAATGACATGGAAGAAAAGTGTAGAAGATGCCCATGTTTTTTCACAGGCAGAACTAATCTCTCAAAATGGCCATACTACCAAGAGCAGTGGCCATACTACCAAGATTCAATGCAATCCCATCCAAAGGACTATAACATTCCTCCCAAAATTAGAAAAAAATTCTTCAATTCGTTTGGATCAAAAAGAGGCACAGAGAAAGAAAAATGATGCAGGGGGCATCAGAATACCTGACCTGAAATTATAAGACAGAACTATAGTAACAAAACCAGCCTGGCATTGGCTACAAATAGACATGAAGACCAATGTAAAGGGATATTAAGGCACGGAGACAAACTCACACACTCACAGCTGTCTAGGGATATTTGACAAGAGTGCTAAAAATACACTTTGTAAAAAAGACTCTTTAACAAATGGTACTGGGAAAACTGGATGCTAGATATATGTAGAAAAGGAAAATAGGTCTGTGTCTCTCACCCTGCACAAAAGTCATATCATAACGGATCAAAGACTTGGGAATTAGTCCAGAAACCTTGCCAATGCTTAAAGAAAACATAGGGCCATCATTGTAGTGCTGGCCACAACTTCTTTACTGAAAGCCCCAAAGTGCAAAAAGAAAATCAAGAGTCAATAAGTGGGATGCCATCAGTTAACATCTTGTGTACAGTAAAGGAAATGATGAAGGGAATGAAGAAAGAGCCTACAGAAATGCAGAGGAGCTTTGCCAGCCACTCCCCAACAGGGGACTAGTACTCAGAGTATGTGAAGAACTCCAATATATTCAACCAAAATCGTAATAATAACAATAACCCAAAAAACAAATGGGCCAAAAAACTAAACAGAAACTTCTCAAAAGAAAAAACACAAAAATCCAATATGTACATGAAAAAATGTTCAACATTCCTTGTCATGAGGAAATGCAAATCTAAACTTCAATATGGTTTCATCTCACTGCAGTCAGAAAAATGCCAAGATTATAAATCAAAACAAGTGTTGGCGAGGATGCAGGTTAAATGTTCACTGAAATGTACATTGTTGGTGGACCAGCAAATGAAGGCCACCACTCAGAAAAGTAGAAAGGAGAATCCTCAAATAACTAGGCATAGAACCACCACATGACCCAGCTGTGCCACTCCTTGTATTTTTCCAAAACATCTAAAATTAGCATCCTACAGGGATACAGCCAGATAAAGGTTTATAGCAGCACAGTTCACAATAGCTAAATCATGGAATCAACCAGGTGCCTCTCAATAGATAAATAGATTTTAAAAATATGCTTTTTTTTTGGAAATGTGCTCTCTGGTGTCTGCTTCACAATTTGGAGGAAATTGCTTCTCACTCCATCACGGTCACTTCCTATTCTCCTCAGCCACAAAGAAGAATGACATCATGGCACTTGACAGTAAGTTGATGGACATGGAGAACATCATGCTAAGTAAAGAAGTCACACTCAGAAAGTCAAAGGTCTAATGTTTTCTCTCAGCTCTGCACACTAGAGTGTAATAAAGGAAAGAAGGAGAGAGGGACAGGATGTCACACAGATGTGGGAAAGGTCAGTAGAACAGAAGGAGAGCAAGAGTCAAAGGGGAGGGATGGAAAAGGGAGGAAATGCAGAAGGAATTATTTTTAAATTATGTTAAGTGTAATATAAATAAAACCACAGGGAATTTCACATTTAGGGATAAATCAAAAGAACCAAACAAAAATAAATGAAGACATGAGCAAAAGGAAGTCTAGTAGAAATTAGGAAGGAGGAGGGTGTGGGGTGAGCACGGGAGAGCAAAAGGGAGACCCAGAATTGATCCCTAATTCCATGCACGTATGGTTTTGTCAGGATGAACCCAACTGTTATGGGAACTATGATACTTTACAGAAAAAACAAAGCTTTGCAATGCTTGGCCATGGCGGGAGGTGACCAGTTCCTCCCCAACACTGAGCAGGCCCCAGGACCCCTCCTACCTCCAGCTGAGTAGCTCTGTGTGTAGCTGCTGCAGAGTGAGGCCACCAGCCAGCCACACCAGGGTCTCAGAGTCAGGAGTCTGTGGCAATCCTGCCTGCCCTGTGACTCCCAAATAGATTGTCACTAAGACCCAGGAAACCACGAGGGGCCTAGGCACAGGCACAGGGAAGGAGGACTTTATCCTGTGAGATATGTTCCAATTCCTTCCAAAAATGAAGCATGAGAGACCCTTACCCTTTGCTGTCTGTGCTCCTGGTTTCTACATCATAATTTTGGAGGAAATTGCTTGTCACTCTGTCACAGTCACTTCCTCTTGTAATAAGGGAGGCAGAGTGTCAGTTCTCTCCAGAGAGCAGAGTCAGGGATCTCCCCAGCACAAACACTGGGACAGAGCAGGCTCCTCAGGGCTCCACCATGTCTGCAACTGCCTCCGGGCCCCAGCGTCCCTGTCCTGTCCTGCTGCTGACCCTTCTGCTGGGACTCATAGGTGAGTGAGCACTGTCTGGGGTGATTCCTGTGTCCTGGCCCCTGGGTCAGCTCTGCCCTTGGACTCCCAGGGACTCAGGACAAACATAGGCTCTGCCATGGAGGCTGGGACAGGGCGTTATCTGGAGCCCAGACCAAGGGTCCTGAAAATGTCACTGTGATGCCTCCCCTGCAGCTGGGGTCAGAGACATCACATTAGCTGATGCTTTAAATAGCAGTGACAAGAATGACTTGCATATTATAATACTTCAGCTCACAGAACATCTCTCCAGAGGATCAATGTGTAAATCCTGATAACTTCTGAGATAGCCAAGGTGAGGTAATCTCCTCAAGGCCATGGAGTAAGCGATCTCCCCACCCCCCTCTCTCTCATAGTCTGACCTTGAGGTACATGGCTTTGTCCCATCATACCTTCCTCTCCATTGATTTCCTGCCTCCCACAGGCCCAATAGCCATGGGGACAATCAATGCTGGACTGAAACCTCTAAAACTGTGAGCTCATCCTACTTTTCTCTTCATAAGTGGATTTGTCTCAGGTATTACTTATAGTAATGGAAAGTTGATTGACACAGGCTGTGACGATGTCCTTACCCTTATCTACATCATAGGGGGCCACTGGAAGGTCCTGAGCCTCAGGAAACCTACTGAGTAATGACTTTCAATTTTTTTGAAATCTCACCATGGGCCAGACTCTCTGAAATGCTGTACAGCTTGTCACATGACCATGATACCCATAGCAGACACTCTGGTCACCCACCTTACAGCTAACAAGCAGAAGCACCAGGAGCTCTGTGGTCATTCAGGGGCAGTGCTAGGGCTGGGGTTTGGGTGCAGATGCTCTGATCTGGAGCTCGTGGTTCAACCACCATCTTCTCAAACTCTGTGGCCCTGACCCTACATGTGGCCAGACATTGTTTTACTGGTGTGTAGCACGACATCATGGGGTCAGATGTCTGCTTCCAAAGACCTGGGGCATCTCATGCTCATCATGGGTGGTCTAGAGACCCCAAGAGGATTTGGATCTTATTTCTTTACTTTCTTTTTTTCAAGGCAATAAGAAGGGTGCCTGGTTTTAATTTGTATAGGAAATTAGTAAATGATGCATATGTAGACTGATTTACACACTTTGTTCAGCTTCTGCCAATGGGTGTAGAGAATGGTGGGGGAAAAGGGTTTGTGGTTTTCTTCTCCTGGGCTCTACTTCCTGCCTATATCTGGAAATATTTCTTGTTTTGCTAAGTATTCTGTGTGGGAAACTCAACTTGTGGCCATTTCTACAAAATGTATCCACTGAAAATCATCTTCTGCAATGAAGGGTTGTGGCACTGAGCAATTCACACACTAAGTACACACTCATTGTACACCTACTGTGTGCAGGAACTGTTACAGAAACTTGCAGTGCATTGAGCATAGAAGAGGCAAAGGATTTGCCCTGTGTAGCTAAGGTACCTCTAGGGACAATGGTGGTGATCAACACATAACAAAGAGGTAAATCGTATCACATATTGAACAGTGATCAATGCGACTTGAAAACTATCAGCGGGATAAGGGAATTGGAGAACGAGTGGGAGAGAGGAACTGCAAATGGGGTCATCTGGACAGGCATCACTGAGAAGGGGAATTTGAGCAGAGATTAAGAGGAGGTGCAGGAGTGGCCCTGAGGTTTTCTAGCAGAAGGGCTTCCTGATAGAGAAACCCCATGTGCACAGGCTGTGAGAGCAGATGCCCCTGCTGTGTTCAAGGGAGTTCCTCTCACTGTGATTAAAATGGGAGCCACTTCCAGGTGTGGAGCAGAGAGTTGAGTTGCCCTGAGCTCAGGAGGCTGCCTGGGCTTTGCAAGGTGTGTTGTCCTTGTTCCCATGCTTTAGAGGGGGGCTCTGGTTAAGGAGTGGAAGGCAGCCACATCCCACTGAGTTCCAGGGTGTATGACAGGTGGCTGTGCCATTCCACAGTCCACGGATTTCCATTACGTCCATTAGGTTAATTCTTAGGGCTCCAGCTAGCCAAGGGGCCTGGTGGAAGGTGACCCCTGAGATACCCAGGCTTTGTGTAAGGGTCTAAGCTTAGGGAAGTCACCCCATCCTGCCAGTGGGAAAGGCCAGATGGTCTAGGTTTTGCTTTATCTTGTCCTGATGATGCTTTCGTAGCTGTGGGAGCAGTTGAGGTGATCAGTGTTTATGGAGCATCTAAGCCCTAGAGAGCCAAGGGGTCAGCAGACATCTGTTGTTTTCATGATATGTAGACAAGTCCGTGAGGGGAAGAATTTTCCAAAGCCATGGGGTAGTTTATGATCCTGGTGAGTGGTCCAGTGCCTCCAAGGGGTATTTCTGTCTGCTGCTTAAATGGAATAACAGGGGTGTGTGTTCGTCTTTTTTAATTTTTTATTTATAGTTATACATGACAGTAGAATGTATTTTGTCATATTATACATGCATGGAGTATAACTTCCCATTCTTGTGGTTGTACAAGCTGTGGGATTACACTGGTTGTTCATTTACTGTACCAATTTGCAGCCCCATCATTAATGTTTGAGTGAACCTTTTCCCCACATCCTTGCCAACATTTTATTGTGACTTGAGTTATTGATAATTGCCATTCTGACAGGAGTGAGATGGAATCTCACTGTAGTACTAATTTACGTTTCTATAATTGCTGGAGATGTTCAACATTTCTATGAAGCAATGGTTCAGTTCCTTTCCCATTTATTTGTCTGTTTGTTAGTTTGTTTGTTTTTCGTGTTAAGTTTTTGAATTCTTTATATATCCTGGAGATCAATGCTGTATCTAAGGTGCTAGTGGCAAAAATTTTCTCCCATTCTGTGGGATCTCTGTTTACCTTCTTCATGTTCCCCTTGCTGTGAACAAGCTTTTTAGTTTCATATCATCCCTTTTATTGATTCTTAATTTTACTTCTTGACTTTAGGAGTCTTGTTGAGGAATTTGGTTCCTAAGCTTATATGATGGAGAGTTGGGCCTACTTTTTCTTCTAGCAGGCACAAGGTCTCTAGTGTAATGCCTAGGCCCTTGATCCAGGTGGCTTTGCCATTCCTACAGTCCACAGATTTCCATTATGTCCATTGAGTTGAGTTTTGTGCAGGGTTAGAGATAGAGGTTTAATTTTGCTACATGCAGCTGTCCAGTTTTGCCAGTACCATTTGGGAAGAGGCTATCTTTTCTCCAGTGTAGGTTTATGGTACCTTGTCTAATATGAGAGAACTTTGTATGTGGGTGCATCTGTTTGTCTTCTATTCTCTACCATTGGTCTTCATGTCTGTTTCGGTGCTGAAACCATGCTGTTTTTGTCACTATGGCTCTGTAGTATAATTTAAGATCTGCTCTTGTGATGCCTCCTGCTTCACTTTTCTTGCTGAGAATTATTTTGCTATTCTGGGACTCTTTTTTTCAAATGAATTTCACAGTTGCTTTTTCTACTTCTATGAAGAATATTATTGGAATTATAATATGTATTGCACTAAATAGGCATAGTGCTTTTGGTGGCATAGCCATTTGACAATATTAACTCTGCCTATCAAAGAACAGAGGAGATTTTTCCACATTCTAAGGTCTTATTCTATTTCTTTCTTTAGTGTTTTGCGCTGTTCATTGTAGAGGTCTTTCACCTCTTTTTTAGATTGATTCCCAAGTATTTTTAATGCCATTCTGAATGGGATGATTTTCTTAATTTCTATTTCAGTTAATTCATCACCGATATATAGGAATGTAATTTATTTATGAGTGTTAATTTTATATTCTTCTGCTGTCTGAATTCATTTCTGAGAAATGTTTTCTGGTGAGATTTTTTGAATCTTCTATGTATAGAATCATGTCAGTGGCAAACAGAGATGGTTTCAGTTCTTCTTTTTCTATGCATATCTTTCTAATTCCTTTCTTCTGTCTAATTGCTCTGGCTAGAGTTTCCAGGATGATGTTGAATAAAAGTATTGAGAGGGCATCCCTGTCTTGTTCCAGTTTATAGAGGGAATGCTCTCAGTTTTTTATTATACAGAATGGTGTTGGCCTTGTGTTTTGCATATACAGCTTTGACAATGTGGAGGAATGTTCCCATTATCGATAGTTTTCCTAGTGTTTTTAATATGAATTGATTCTGAATTTTGTCAAATATGTTTTCTGTATCTATTGAGATAATAAATAATCTTATATTTAGGTCTATTGACATGATGAATCACATTTATTGATTTCCATATGTTGAACCGACCTTGCATTCCTGGGATGAACCTCACTTGATCATGGTACATTATCTTTTTAATATGTTTTATGTTATGTTTTTATTAAGAATTTTTGTATCTATATTCACCAGGGATATTGATCTGAAATTTTCTTTCCTAGATGTGGCTTTGTCTGGTTTTTGGTATTAAGATGATACCAGCCTCATATAATGAGTTTGGAAGGGTTCCCTCCTTTTCTATTTCATAGAATAATTTGAGGAGCATTGATGTTATTTCTTCTTTGAAGATCTGTTCAAGCTAGGCTGAGAATCTATCTGGTCTTGGGCTTTTCTTTATTGGTCAGCTTTTGATGACATCTTTATTTCTATGTCTTTCTGATTCAATTTGGGTAGGTCATATATGTCTCAAAATTTGTCAATATCTTCAAGATTTTTTATAAGAGTTTATATTTTCAAAATAGTTTCTGATTATCTTCAGCATTTCAGTAGTGTACATGGTAATATTTCCTTTTTATTACAATTTTTTATAATTTGAGTTTTCTTTCTCTTTCTCTGTGTTAGCTTGGCTAAGCATTTATAGCTTTTATTTCTTTTTCCAAAAACCAAACTTTTCTTTTTCAATGTTTAAAATTGTTTTTGTTTCAATTTTATTGACGTCATCTCTTAATTATTTCCTGTATTTTTCTGTGTTTGGTGTTGATTTTTTTCTTGTTTTTCTAGGTCTTCAGATACAATACTAAGTTATTTATTTTGTGACTTCTGTTCTTTTAATGAATGAGCTCAATGCAATGAACTTTCCTCTTAGCACTGCCTTCA